GCATTCATACTAACACCATACAAATTCATCATGTGCGCACTTTTTTGACAGCAACATTCTTTCAGACAATAAAAAATGTTCATACAAATCTCTATCTCTCTCTCTCTCTCTGGTCAGTTTCACAAACCACGAGCCGTCACTGCTAACACCAGGAGTGTCACTGGTACTTGTTGATTGTGTTTGAGGATCTAGTTTTTAATGAAAGTTCCACCACTGTTCAAATATTGTCTCAACCTAGAAGGACATACATCTTCCACATCTCCAATGGCTGAGCTGCCATCCTTCATGGGGTAGTCCGAAAGATCAGTGTGTGATTTGCACAAAGAATATCAGTTTTCATCCCTTTTGATGCAAAAGTTGATGGGAGCAGCTCATACTTTTTTGACTCAGAACAAGGCACAACAAGCTTAGTGCATACACAAGTATCTAGGAGAACTTAAAGTTAAAGATTGGCCAGTCAGAGATATGCCCACAGAGGATCTGTTTGAGGACTGTGCTCAATCGCAGTAGTCCCAGATTTTCCTTATATATGTCAGAGCCAGTGCCACTTCCACTAAGGGACAAACTTTATAAAGGCAGATTTGAGGCTCCTCAAATGACCACTGCATTTATGAGGATGTCTGGCATCTCCATAAAGAACGAAGAAGAAGGAAGACTCCCTATCCACATCTCCATTGCCACATATTCTGTCTTTCATTATTTTATGTACAACTTGTTGTACTCTAAAGTGGTTGTACAGCTTCATTGTGCAAAATACACAGCTACTCTGTGCAGTAAAACATTACTCGGATCCACAAAATGAGGCTATATAATGAACAAAGTGAAAATAAAAGTGCAGTACATTGTCCGGGGAACTTCACTCGTGAAATATAAAGATACTCATTGTACGTTGTATTATTTGCATTTGTATCAATGGTACAAGAACACGAACTTTTCCCTTGATCATAATGCATGAATCTGATGATGGGCAGGGACACAGAACGAGTTAATGTTGTCTTGGAAAGCATTCAACTCTTGTCTTTGAGAGAGAGATATATATATATATTCTATATATATATATTCTCTCTCTCTCTCTCTCTCTCTCTCTCTCTCTCTCTCTCTCTCTCTCTCTCTCTCTCTCTCTCTCTCTCTCTCTCCCTCTCGCTCTTTATATATATATATATATATATATATATATATATATATATATATATATATATATATATATATATATATATATATATATATATATATATATATATGTATTGTCTTGTTAATCTTGGTACATGATGTAATTGGATTTCACTTTCTCAGATGTTGTCTACAACTCTCGTATTACAATTGAAATTGTCCAAGATAACTAACTATTAATGAGGAGGAAAATGATTGTCTTAGACAGGTAGATGTCTAGGAGGACAGTGTCATTATGATTTTTTTTTTAATTGCAAGGGGAGAGTGGGATATGGTCATTTGTACAGGTGATTGTCTTGGACAGTGGCCATTAGAGTAGATATGACTGTATTTGTTTTTTTAAAATTGGCTGCTGAGAATCTTATTCCTCAGACAAAGAAGGGATTGTCAGTAGGCCTACAGTGCACACAACTCTGCAATAAAGTACTGTTGAAAATAATTTATACATGTCTCCTTGAATTTTAATTTTTGTTGTTTTACCTTTCCATGGTTGCTATCATTACTTTGCAAAAAAATAACTGGTGTGGTTTGTTTCTTCTTTCGTATCAAACATCTATCATCCTTATCTCCCCTTCTTCTTTTTTATGTTTGTTACTCTCTTGTAACACCTCTATTCTTCTGGCGCTCATATGACCTTATGCAGTTGCGAGCGCCGTAAAACCTCTACTAAAACAAACAAACAAACAAAAAAAGAGGTTCAGTGTGCTTTGCTTAAGCCACTGTGAGCATCTTTTTTTTCTCCAGTTTATTATACAGTGGAGTCCACTTATAACGAGTCCTGAAATAACGAGAAGTCTGTTATAAAGACACTATTCTAAAACCCAGTTTTTTCCCTTCTTTATCTTTGTAAATAAAATACTGCTATTGCGCAATCGCACAGTCACGCGGGTCGGTTATAACGGAATATTGCTGCTGCTGTGCACAACGCACAGACCAATTACACATAGTATAAAATCTCGCCAGTTGAGAAAGTTGTTGGTGATCTAGCGAAACAAAGAATGGGAGAGTCCACGTGAACCAACAATGAAGGCCGGAGTGAATGAGTGGGGAGGGTGTGGCATGCGCTGACAAGCAGCACGAATCGCGTGGTATGCCAGCCCAGTCTAGATTATCTGGGCATACTGTGCCTCTCACTTCTCTGGTGCGGGATGGAGAGGTCATAAAGCTGTGATAGATGGAGTGAATGTGTGACGTGCGCAAGCAGACGCAACGTACTACAGGGTGTGGTGGGGTGGGACACAACTCAGCGGGCGAGTTAGCCTAAAGCCAGAGCCCCTTCTTTCGGATCGCCAACCCCGAACTGTCAACATTGCAAGTGCTAGAGACAGAAATTTGATTCGATTTTTGATCAAGTAAGACCTAGAGTCGTCATCTGGGGAAATACAAAAAGGAATAAACAGAACACCAAACTCATAGATTAGGCCTACCTTACTATTTCCCTTGAATGTATTACTGGATTCCTAATAACGAGAATCCTGCTATAACGGACATTTCGCCCCGGTCCCCTCCCTCTCGTTACAACAGGATTCCACTGTATTAACACATTCATAATTAGTGTGTTTTGTGTGTGTGTGTGTTTGTGTTTGTGAAAGAGAGAAAGAAAGAGAGAGAGAGAGAGAGAGAGAGAGAGAGAGAGAGAGAGAGAGAGAGAGAGAGAGAGAGAGAGAGAGAGAGAGAGAGAGAGAGAGAGAGAGATGGTTGGCTCGGGTGTTCTGGTGTGGTTTGCACCTTTTTGCCCATCAAATATCGCCTTTATCTCTTCTTTTTTGTGTTTATTACTCTCTTGTAAAACCTCTAATCTGCGGCACTTATAACCCTGTGTTGTAAGTGCCGTAAAACGCTTACTAAAACAAAAGCGTGTGTGTGTGTGTGTGTGTGTGTGTGTGTGTGTGTGTGTGTGTGTGTGTGTGTGTGTGTGTGTGTGTGTGTGTGTGTGTGCATTCAAACTCTGTTGTAACAAGAGTCAGCAGAGATAAAGAACAATGTCTTGTTATAGCCGTGTCTTATTATTGCTGGAATCCAAGGGGAATAATAATAGAATGCCTGTTTGAGTTAGGAATATAAATTAAAAAAGTGATGAGTTGTCCACAGAAATCTCGACATAATTTTGCTTCATATTACCCTAATAATAAATGAATAATGGCCACATTGACACTGGTCTACTGCGCTTTCTTCTACATCTGCAGCCTGCAGTAAAACCCTAATAACACAAACTTCGTGCACTGGTGTCTGTGGTGTAGCGGTTACGCGTTTTGTTTTCCTGTTGTACACAAGAGACCGAGTTCGATTCCTTTATAGTAGGGCGAATGTATTTTATCTAGTACCTCTGCTGCTGGGATACACTGACATACACATTTTTAACGAACTTCTTTGGACCAGAGCATTTGTTCCTGTTAAGCAGGTTTCTTATTAGGGTGACCTTATTTAAGCCACATATGGCCTAAATAAGCTAGTCCCCCAACTGACCTTATTTAGGCCACATATAGAAAAAAAAATCCTCTTCACATCCATCTTCTATCACAGCAGGACATGTAATGAATCTACAATCAATTATTTAAGGTCCTTTTCTGTATCTAAGAATCTGCAGCTCAAAACCCGTGCCTTTGGTACATGTCTGAATTACACACACTGACTTTATTAATAAATGTGTATTTTCTTCGAAAGTGGATAGGTGGACCTCGGGGTGTAGCCTAACATCGTCTAGTATTAGTGATTAGTGTTGGGGTAAGGCAAGGTTTTGAAAAGGAACCCCCCCCCAAAAAAAAAAAAAAAAAAAAACAACAACAACCTAGGTCGGCAGACTCGATTCGGCATTATTCCAGTTAAACTTCTACCTAAATCGTCATTCTTAATTAGTTTTTTAAAAACATATTTGAAAAAAAGTGGTTTGTTTAATTTTTTTAGGTGGTAAATCGTCCTCGCAAACATAAATATATGTATTTAACCCACAGAATTCTACACTTAGTGTAGAATTCTGTGATTTAACCGAATCTAGAGTAACTCTGCCACCTGGCAACACTGAATGTCTTTGTATTTTGACGATTTGAGATAACAGATTCGAATGGCATGGTTATGCTGATAGGCTAGTCCCAACATACACATTAATAGATCATGTATACAGCAGTTTGTCTGGTTAAAAAAAAAAACTTCGGTTAAGTAGATTTCTAGAACTAACCATGGATTCGCAATATCGAGATTCTACTGATCTTTTATATAGTGAGGGGATTATTTCTAAATAGAGGAAGAATTCTGAATGAAAAGTGTACAAAGGGTAGGAGTTGTGTGTGTATGTGTGTGTGTGTGTGTGTGTGTGTGTGTGTGTGTGTGTGTGTGTGCGTGCGTGCGTGCGCGCGCGCCGGGGGGGGGGGTGTGTGTGCGCGTGTAAGGTCCTTGGCGTGCACGCTTTTATACACCAAATTTGACCCAGAAGTCCATTCGGAGGATTTGACCTTTTCGCTTGACCAAAGTGTGCCAAAATGGTTGCCTAGCCTTTGCTCACCGATGAAGGAAAAAATCTGGCCCTCATTCAAACCATCGGGATTGAACAAAATTTTCCGTTTTTTGCGTTGGTCTTACTATTTTCATTATATCATTATATTAAATATTATGATTGATAAGTTATTCACTTGAGACAAAACTTTTACTACATTATGAGAAAGGTGCAACGTTGCGAAAGCGGGACGAACTCAGCCGTGTGAAAAGGGTAGTTTGAGCTATGGCCTAAATTTAATAAGGTTACCTGGGGGTTTCACGGTATATGCCATAGGAGGCCTAAATAAGGTTACATGGGGGGCCTGCACGATATATAGGCCACATGTAGCCTAAATAAACACTCCCTTCTTATTAAGCGGAATGCCTCATGCCTCTATTAAAAAGAACAACAACAACAACAACAAAAAGGGGGGGGGGGGTGACCCCTTTCTGTTTGTTGCAACAAGAACTAACAAAACCACATGCTAAGCCCATTCTCAATGTTATTTTCATTACAGTAAGCCTATAGTATAGTAGGCTATAGCCCACAGGGATGACGACAACAAATAACTTACATGCCAGGCCTATTTATTAGTCCCAAGTATGCATGTGTAGAGCTACCAACTTTAGGAAGTTGGAAAACAGCCTGGTTTTCAACCTCAGACAGAAGCCCTGACCGCACAGAATGAGGTTCAAGGGAGGTTGCTGCACTTTTTACCTGATGGTTTTGTTTTCCATACTACTAACACACAAAAGGCACTATCAAAACACGAGTAAACAAATCTCATATAAAGGCCGGTAGTCTGAAAATAAACACAAGACGTTCTCATGAAATTTGGACGGTTGGCAGCTTCCCAGTGTCTCGTCTCGAGTTTTCTTTCACTTTCCCATTCACATTCCATGTGCTGCAGATGGTGACACAATGGCTTTGTTAAATTGCGGATCACTGACTGTCTTCTTCGTCCAATGATGAACGCTTGTTGTGTTTTATTTCAGTTAAAAGTTTATTGGAACTATAGGCTACTGTGAGAAAAAAAAAAGGAAAGGGCGAGTCCACAGGTGGGGGTGGGGGAGTTACATACATCGACACAATAATGGTCATTTAGTGCTGGGGAAAAGTAAGACAGACAGAATCAACAGAAGGAAAGTAAAGAAGTAGGACCCCCCAGTGGCGTCCTGCCCAAAATTCGTTCGTGTTAGTAGAGCTCAAACTCGTCGTTGTACAATGTATCCGTCCCATTCCATGCAGAACACGGGTCTGTCTGAGCCGGAGCGGGTCTGTGCCCTTTCAAAAACAGGTGGCGTCAATGTTGTACCCGTTTCACAGTTCCGTCACAGCTTTATAAAATTTTTTTTTTTTGGGTATAGTCGAGGTGAGCGCACGTGTAGTAATGTAGAAATGAAATAAATACGGTACATGGTATGCAAATGGCACCACACAAGCTGT